CGTTGAGGACCTCGCGTGGGCTGGAGAGGCCTACAGTAAGAGGAAGGACAGGGAAGACCTGGATTGAGGAGGGGCGAATTCGATTTTCGATTGAGAGAAACGCACAGGATGAGACGATCAAAACCTCAACTCAGAAATCTCAAGCCCTCCGCAATTCCAACAAGGGGGTGTCATTTGGGATCTCGTTTTGGCCCATCAGAACCCCATCAACCCCAGAACCCCTTGGTAGGCCCGGATGGAACTTCCAATCCACTTTCTCCTCCCCTCCGATCGTCGATCGCCCTCGAACCCTCCCTCCCACTCATCATCATCATCATCATCATCATCATCGTCATCATCAGCATCAGCATCAGCATCAACAGCATCATCACCATCATCATCGTCATCATCATCACCATCGTCATCTTCATCTTCATCAGCATCAGCTTCAGCATCAGCAGCATCATCATCATCAGCATCATCCCCATCTTCATCAGCATCAGCATCAGCACCAGCACCAGGATCCGCATCAGCATCAGCATCAGCATCAGCATCGTCATCATCATAATCATCATCATCACGATCATCATCATCATCATCATCATCATCATCATCATCATCGTGTTCCTCCTCTTCCTCCCCCTCCTCCTCCTCCTCTTCCTCCTCCTCCTCCTCCTCATCATCATCATCATCATCATCATCATCATCATCCTTCTCCCTCCTCCCTCCTCCCTCCTCCCTCCTCCCTCCTCCTCCTCCTGCCTCCTCCTCCTCCCTCCTCCCTCCTCCTCCTCCCCCCCTCCTCCTCCTCCTCCCCCTCCACTTTCTCCTCCCCTCCGATCGTCGATCGCCTTCGAACCCTCCCTCCCACTCCTCCTCCAATCCTCCTCCTGTTCCTCCTCCGCCTCTTCCTCCTCCTCCTCCTCCTCCTCCTCCTCCTCCTCCTCCTCCTCCTCCTCCTCCTCCTCCCCCTCCTCCTCCTCATCGTCCTCCGGCTCCTTTTCCTCCTCCTGTCCAGCCTACATGGCTCACCAGACGGCGCCGCAACGCAGCGCAAGCACCGGGCTTCATCGGACGAAGGGAACACTCGGAGGAGGCCTCCATCTTCCTCTTCCTCCTCCTCCTCCTTTTCTCCTCCTCCACTTATTCTCCTCCTCCTCCACATCCTGCTCCTCCTCCTCCTCCTCCTCCTCCTCCTTCCTCCTCCTCCTCCTCCTCCTCCTCCTCCTCCTCCTCCTCCCTCTTCCCTCCTCCTCCTCCCGTCCCCCTCCTCCTTTTTCCCCCCCCCCCTCCTCCCCCCCCGCTCTTCTCCCCTCCTCCTCTTCCTCCTCCTCCTCCTCCGTCTCCTCTTCCTCCTCCTCTTCTTCTTCTTCCTCCTCCTCCTCCGCGTGCGAGAAATCAAACAAGACGTCGCGCAAATCAACGAACTGTGTCCTTTGGGCCGTCTTGGGCGTCATTTTAAAACTTTGGGGGGCCGTCTTAGGGCCCTCTCGGGCGTCCTGGGATCCCGGAAATCATGTTCCCAGAGAGGCTTCCGGGAACATGATTTCGGACGCTGCGGAAGAGGCCTCCCGAGAATCTCTAGGCAGCTCTTCTGGCCCCCGTTGTGGTTATGTTGGGTGCCTTTTGGGGCTCTCTTGGGCTGGCTTGTAGCCTTCACAGGCCATATTGGGGCCCTCTTGGGCCGTCGTGGGGCTCCTCGGGGGCGTCAGGGGCACTGTGAAGACGAAGCAAGCGAATATCCTGAAAACGTTCGTTCTACGAAAGGAATGGGCCGATGTCTGCTTCTTGAAGGCCCTCTTGGGGCCCTCTTCGGCCATCTTCAAGCCATCTCGGGCCCTCTAAGGGCGCTCTTGGGCGTCTTGGGGCCCTCGTGGGTCTCGCTGAGGCTGTCTTGGGGGCCTCTTGGGCCGTCTTTGGGGTTTCTTGGGCCGTCTTTGGGGTGGGGGGGGGTGGTCGCGGGCCCCACAGGACGCCTGGGGCGGCTCTCTCGGGCTGTTTTGGGGTTCTCATGTGCCGTCTTGGGTACCTCACAACGGGTGGTCGGAGTCTGAGAGCACCTTAGTTGTTCGTCAATTTGCGAAGGTCGTGGTTCGAAAAACTTTGGGGCGTTCCTCGTGCCTCCTACATCGTCCTTCCGCCTCCTCCTCCTCCTCCTCCTTCTCCTCCTCCTCCTCCTCCTCCTCCTCTTCCTCCTCCTCCTCTTCTCCTCTCCTCCTCCTCCTCCTCCTCCTGTCCTCCTCCTCCTCCGTCCTCCTCTCCTCCTCCTCTCCTCCTTCACCCTCTCCGTCTCCTCCGCGCGGGAGGAATCCGGCAACATCTCGTGCAAATCAGCGAACTGTGGCCCTCTGGGCCATTTTGACTGTCCTTTTGGGGCGCTTATTGGGGGCCGTCCTGGGGCCCTCTCGGGCGCCCTGGGAACCCGGAAACCATGTTCCCGGAGAAGCTTCCGGGAACATGATTTCGAACGAGGCCCTCTTAGGCCTCCCTGCGGCCGGATTGGGGGCCTCCTGGGCCGGCTTTGGCGCCCCTTGGGCTTTTCTTTGGGGGTTCCGTGGGCTCCACCACAGGACGACCCTTTTGGGCCGTCTTGGGCACTCTTGTGTCTCTCTTCCCTAAAAGACAAGGCATCGTAACCAAATCACGCGCCCAAAGTATTGTAATGTACCATGGTTTGTTGCGTGCACGTGCGTACCCAAGTCGGCTTCTTGTTGAGCCAATTTCGTATGAGAGGGGTGCATTGTTTTGATTTGGTTGCGCGCAATTTGATGACGAAGTGTGATGTGGTTATGATTTGGTGATGAAAATATTAAATTTGGTTACGATTTAGTTACGCTATGTCAAATTTGGTTGCGATTTGGTTACGTTTCCATATGGTTACGATTTGGTTACGATTTGGCTAAACAACGGGGCCCGTCGTGGCCCATGGCTTGACCAGCCAATGGCCCATCCCTGGTGGAGCCTATCCCTGGTGGACCTGTCCGTACACACACCGTGTTACATCGTGATTCCCTCCTTCCTCCCTCCGAACCTCTCCGATGTGTCGCCGCCCCTACCCCGTGCCAGAGCCCTCTCGTCAAACATTAGTCCGAGCGTGTCCCCACGGGTCTAGCACCCACACAAACAGAGCCCTCCACTATCTTACGCCTCTTCCGTGCAGACCCCCCGCGTAAGTCGCCTCTTTGAAATCCACACTCCTCATCTTCTTGCCTCCTGACCGGCTTTGGGGCCTCTTGGGCCGTCTTGGTGGGTTCCGTGGGCTCCACAGGACGACCCTTTTGGGCCGTCTTGGGCCCTCTTGTGTCTCTCTTGGGCTGTCTTGGGGCTCCTCGGGGGCGTCTGGGGGGCCCTCTTCGGCCATCTTCAAGCCATCTCGGGCCCTCTTGGGCCTCGCTGAGGCTGTCTTGTCAGCCTCTTGGGCGTCCTGGGAACCCGGAAATGAGGCTTCCGGGAACATGATTTCGAACGAGGCCCTCTTGGGCCACCCTGAGGCCGTCTTGGGGGCCTCCTGGGCCGGCTTTGGGGCCTCTTGCAAGGCCGTTTTGTGGGGTTCCGTGAGCCCCACTGGACGACCCTTTTGGGCCGTCTTGGGCCATATTGGGTCTCTCTTGGGCTGTCTTGGGGCTCCTCGGGGGCCTCTGGGGCACTGTGAAGACGAAGCAGGCGAGTATGCTGAAAACGTACGTTTTACAAATGGACTGGGCAGATTTTTACATCTTGAAGGCCCTCTTGGGGCCCTCTTCGGCCATCATGCTGAGGCTGTTGTGAGCCTCTTGGGCGTCCTGGGAGCCCGGAAATCGTGTTCCCGCAGAGACTTCCGGGTCCGGGAACATGATTTCGAACAACGCCCTCTTGGGGCTCCCTGCGGCCGTCTTAGGGGCCTCCTGGGCCGGGGCCTCTTGGGCCGTCTTGGGGGGTTCCGTGAGCCCTTTTGGGCCGTCTTGGGCCCTTTTGTGTCTCTCTTGGGCTGTCTTGGGGCTCCTCGGGGGCCTCTGGGGCACTGTGAAGACGAAGCAAGCGAGTATACTGAAAACGTATGTTTTACTCATGGACCTCTCCCTCCTGGACGTCGACCTGGTCAAGTGGCACGTTCTTCTCTGCAGTGCTTGAGGCCGGTGTTCACGACGCGCCGTTGACGGCAATACCACTCCGCTCGCCCTCCGGACCTTCGCCTCCGATCCCTGTCCGCGGCGTACCTTTTCCTGTGCAAGCTCTTCGGCACCGCCTGCACCCCGGGCCCCGCCCGCTCCGGCCGCCTGAGGCCCCGCCCTCCTGTGCCCTGTCTCCCCAATTAAAGCTGTGCGTAGCCCGCCTAGCTTTTAGCGGAAGAGGGTCGCTCTCGCCCCGCCGACCAAACACGTTTTACACATGGAATGGGCCGATTTTTGCCTCTTGAAGGCCGTCTCGGGGCCCTCTTCGGCCATCTTCAAGCCATCTCGGGCCCTCTTGGGGCGCTCTTGGGCGTCTTGGGGCCCTCTTGGGCCTCGCTGAGGCTGTCTTGTGGGCCTCTTGGACTGTCTATGGGGCATCTTGGGCCGTCTTGGGCGGGTTCGTGGACCCCCCAGGACGCCCGGGGCGGCCATGCCAACTGGTGGCACCACCCCACCCCCGCCCCCGCGCGTACTCCTTTTTTTTTGTTGTTTCTCTCTCTCTCTCTCTCTCTATATATATATATGTATCAAAATGTATCCCTACACACATACATATACAGGTGCATTCCCTCTCTCTCGCTCTGTCTGTATGTCTGTCTGTCTCTGTGTCTCTGTCTGTCAGTCTGTCTCTCTGTCTGTCTGTCTGTCTGTCTGTCTGTCTGTCAGTCTGCCTGCCTGCCTGTCTGTCTGTCTGTCTGTCTGTCTGTCTGTCTGTCTGTCTGTCTGTCTGTCTCTCTCCCTCTCTCTCTCTCTCTCTCGTTATCTCCCTCTCTCTCATTGTCTCTCTTTCTCTCCCTCCTTCCCGTCCACCCGATGATCCTCCCTGACCTCCTTGCTCGATCTCCCTCCGTCGGCCCATCTCGCCAAAACGGTGTCCTGTTGCAAAGTCCCCATGCAGGCCGCCGTTGCGGACGCGCAGGTACTGCCGCCTGGGCGCAAACGCCAATGCCTGCGGGAGCGGGAAGCATTTCTCCCGCTCTCTTCCTCTGTCTCTTTCTCTTTCTTTTTTGTTTTTTGTGTTTTCCCCTCTCTCTCTCTTTCTGTGATTCTCTCTCTCTCTCTCTCTCGGAAGACTCGGCTCGAGAACCAAGCGCGGCCCCAACACGCCCAGGCCCCCAAGGTCCTTCTGAATTCGTGGCACTGGCATCCCCCCCGAACTGCTGATGAATGGTCGTTGCACGTGTTCTGCATGCTTGATATATGCGCGTGATTGTTCACGTGTTCTGTTCGCAAACTTGCTATATGGGTTACGCATGCGCGCCATTCTGCTGTTTTACGATTATGTATATTGCTGATGTGTGGCTGGCATGCGTGGCTTACGTGTTGATGCAATTGATGGGAGTTTCTGATGTCTGTTATGATTGAGCGCTCTTCATAGAGGTTGTTGACGCCTACTCTGGATGTGGATTATTGTCAGGTCTTGGTTCATGTTCTTGATACGCGTGTTCTGAAACATTTTATTTGTAGGTGCGATCGGTGCACGGTTTGATGTTATGTTGCTGATTGGTGAGGCTGCTATCTGCTGCCGCTGCATGTGCTGCATGCACGTGCTTGATACGGTGTGGTGCTGTGTGGCTGCGTGACGTTTGGTGTGTAGCTATGGAATGCGATGAAACTTGCACACGGTGTGCAATGAGCATGTCAGCTGTTGATGAAGGTGCGGATCGCATGCGTGTGGTTGACATCCGCGAGCGATGTGTGTCTAAGGTATTGCACTGGCGCGTGCTCTGCATAGGCGCTCAGGGTACCAAATCTTGGTGTGGGAAGTTGCCAATTGGGCATGGCATATGTGGCTCTTCCGTGCTGATGATGTACTAGTGCAGCAGACATGTGTTTTTGTTGCTCAGTATTGGTGTCTGATCTTGATGTGCGTCATTGGTGCACCGTACGGCGACCAGTTCTTGGCTCTGTTTGACGCATGCTGCTGCATGGCAATATTGTGTGCTGATGACGGTTGTTCGTGCCGTATGCCCTTGGTGTCGATGGCGCAGGCGCTGCCGTAGCAGCCGAGGCGAGCGGGGCGAGCCTCGCAGCTGGCGCTGCTGCCGCGCGCGGCGGCCTCGCCGACGGCTCCGAAGCGGCGCAGGCGATGCAGCTGGAGGTGCGCACTTGGGCCTTGTGCTCGTGCAGGCGCCGACCTGAACGACGAGTGGGCCGACGTGCCCCCCGTTCAGCTCGCCAGGCTGCCTCCGCAGCCGCCGAGCCCAGCCCCAGCGGCTTCAGCGCTGGCCGAGCTGCTGGCGATGCCCAAGGCACGCGAGGGCATGCTGATGCTGCTCCGTGCGAGGTCGTCGAGCCTGGCTGCTGACGAGGCGCGCTGGGTCCTCCTGGACTACGCAGGCCTTCGGCGCGTCCTGTTCCAGGCGCTGGGGGCTGCAGCGGCCCGCCGAGTCGGCGTGAGCCCTGCGGGTGTGAGGCGCCCTACGGGGAGAGTTCCTAAGGGAGAGCACGCGGGCTGCCCGACGAGGCACTCGCGGAAGGCGGGGCTCGCTCGAGCGGAGAGCTCCTAAAGGGGAGCACGCGGAGGCGGCACTCGCGGACAGCGGGGCTCGCGGCGGGCAGGCGCTCGTGGCGGTCGTCTTCGGCGGGCTCTCCTTCGAGCCCCTCTGAGCAGGTTCAGGCCGCGGTCAGTTGCTCCCATGTGGCTGGACGTGCGCCCTCGACGGCCCGACACGCAAACACGCAAACACGTACGTACGCAAACACGCACGCACGCACGCACGCACGTACGCACGCACACATACACACACAGACACTGTTTGGCGTGGCGGCCCCGCGCGCAGCGACAGGGCGAAGCAAGGTCGAAGAAGAGGGCGCGCGCGCGCGCGTCTGAAGGCCGAGCCCTCAAACCGGGAGCAGCAAACACACACACACACACACGCACACATTCACACGCAAGCGCGCACGCACGCACACATGCATCACACACACACGCACGCAAGCACGCATACACACACCTCTCGCACAAACACACACACACACACACGTGGAGCGGTCGACAGTGGCCACCGCGGGGGGGGGGCACGGGACCAGCGGGCAGCAGCTCGACGGGCGCCTGCAGCGCGCAGCCCGTCAGCAGAGCTACCAGCAGGGACGTCTCGTCCCGCAGCTGCGTGCCTTCGGTCGCCGCGCGACCGCCAGGCGCCCCGGCGGCTCGAAAGAGCACAGACCCAGACATCCGACGTCTGCAACAGTACAATGGAGGCCAGTCCACAAGAGACCTTCCACAAGAAACCCAACCCTGAGACCCTAGGACGTCCATTGATTTTCGGTGTGGGAGCGTCACGCTGTCCGTCGCCAACCATCGAAACCCAAGAAACCAAGGGCACCCCGGTTGCAAGCAGGGTGTTTCTTGGCATGGGTCTCCACTCTAATCAGGACGGATTGTTTGTGCGTCGTTTTCGACCTCCGCAGGCGTTGGGACAGCAACAAGCACAATTCAGGATGAGAAGCTGGCCATGGGGAAAGGGCTGGGACTTCTGGGTGACCGTACTAGCAAAAATCAGAACATCGGATGGCCGCGGACTTGGCAGGACCCGGCTGCCCTCAGGGGGAGCTACCCCGAGCTGTGTCCCTTCCTGGCGAAACTCGGGGATAGCCGCCTTGTGCGGCCGGCTTGGAAGACAGGGCAGCCCCTTCCTGGCCCCCGCCTCCTCCTCCTCCGCCCCCTCCTCCTCCTCCTCCTCATCCTCCTCCCGCCTCCGCCTCCTCCCAAGGCGCGCGATTTCTGTTGCATTTCGATGCGAAGTCCCCAGAAGTTCCGACCCCTTCCCCATGGCTGGCTTTACGGCCGGGGTTATCTTTTGCCTGTCCCTGGGCCAAACGAGGGCCAACACGGGCCGAAGACCACGCGAAACCCCCGCCTTGACTTGGTGTAGACTTCGGGTGCCCAGGTCCTCATCCTCGACTCATCCTCCTCCTCGCCTCTTTCATCCTCTACCTTGTTGCTCGCTGTCGTCGGGTGATATCCGGCGCCGCCACGGCCGCCGTCGCACATTCATCGTTCACGTCGACGTTGTTGTGGTCGTCGAGTTCGTCGTCGAATTTGCCGTCGTCGCCGTCGAGTGCGTCGCCAACGTCTGTGCGTAGACGTCGTCGACTTCGTCGTCGACGCGAACGACGACATTGTTTTCGTCATCGTCGTCGCCACTTGCGCCGCCGTCGTCGTTGATTCCGTCGGCGGAACTGTCGCAGACGACGTCGTCAACCTGAACATTTCGTTCCTTAGATGCGTGCTTTCGGTCGTCGAAACCGCCGCCACACCTCTGGCACAGCGATAAGTGAAAAGACCGAGGTTCGGTTGATGACGTTTTTGGATGTGTTTGTCTTGTTTGGGGTCTCCCAAAGGCTTCTCGTTGCCGCGGCTGGACACCCCTTGAGATCCAGACCCGAACACACCTCAGCAGAAGTCAGGGCGTCGACTTTGGAAAAGGCTCGATGACCAAACTCCCGGCCGATCGCAAACATCGAGACGGCCAATGTTTTCGCCAGTTTGAGCCTATGGGTGAAGGCCCGCCAGGGGGCTCCGAGGCCATCAAAAGCCGCCCGGGACGAAACTGCATTCCTTGGCGAACGCGTCGAGAGGTCTGAGAGCCAGCGTATCGCAATGATTTCGAGCCACCGCTGACGTCGTCGAACTCCTCGGCGTCGATGCGGGCGTCGTCGTCGACTTCGCCGTCGCCACCGCTGTCGTTGTCGTCGAACGCACCGTCGACGTCGACCACGTCGTCGTCACCGTCGCCGTCGTCGCCGTCGTCGCGTTGGACGGGGCTGGGGACGAGAGAACGAGAGGAGGACGAGGAGGGGGAGGTGAAGGGGGCAAAGCAGGCGAATCAGGATGGATGAGGAAAAGGAGGAGGAGGACGATGAGGAGGAAGAGGAAGAGGAGGAGGAGGAGGAGGAGAAGGAGGAGGAGGAGGATGGGGAGGAAGATGAGGGGGAAAAGGAGGGAGATAAGAGGAGGAGGAAGTGGAGCAGGAGAGCGAGGAGGAGGAGGAGGAGGAGGAGGCATTGCACGGCAGCATGAGGTCCGCAAGCCGAGCCCGCTGAGCTCCTGACAAGCCCGCGGCGCTGGGGCGGCGGCTGAGCGAGACGCTCGTCGAGGCCCGACGCGCAATCAAGCAGCGAACGCCCGCTGCCCACCGACGACGGTCGGGCAGGCGCCGTAAGTAGAGCGGAGGAACGAGCCGTCCCGCCTTCGGCAGAGGGCCTGGCCGCAACCGCCCGCCCGAGAGGGAAGGCGGCGGCCCATTCGGATGCAAGCTCGGTGTCCAGCCCGTCGCGCCCAGCAGCCGCCCCCAGCGGGGCGGCAGCCGGCCGTCAGGCGAGGCCGCCGCTGCCCGCGCCGCAAGCGGCGCCATGGCTTGCAGCTA